GTATATATACATATATAAATATATATAAATATATACATACCCGGCGCTGCGGAAGTTCTGATTGCTTGCTGCGGCCAGCCGAACATGGACCATTTCTCTCCGACTTGCAGGTAAGCTTACCCGTCGAGGATTTTTTCTTATCGCTCATCAATTTGTGTCAAAGTGACACCAAGAGAGTTCGAATGGTAGATATTTCGCTTTTCTTATTAGCACCGATGGTGAGCAGAACCTCTGCGTCTTTTCTCCAGGGCCAGCAGAATTAGCGGGTGACCTTACCGCAACACCAGTTGAGCGTTCAGATTGCTTAAAATGAATCTAAATGATAGCAAAAGCGTTCTGTTCTTGCGATCTTATTCTTACTGTCTGTGATCAGAACTGAGGTAGAGCTACAGCTACACATCCTCACAGTGAGTTTTCCCTTCAGACTTGTTTGATCAAGCTAAAGCTATCAACATCAAATTCCTTGATCTCATGTATATAATATATACACTGAGATTAGAATTATCTGTTCTGCAAAGTCATTCTGAAAATTGCAGTTTTATCTATTCTTACACATAATTAAACATACCAATTTTGCTAACCTATGAATGGATAAAATATAAATAAAACCGTAAAGTCTCAATTATTTAAAGTCGGATCTTATAATATAATCGTAACGAATTGAACCATACTCTAATATCATTGAGTAACATAATGTCAAACAAAAAAAAAAAATTGTTGGTACCTATTTATGGTTTGGGGGATTTAGCCGGAAGCAATGTGGTTGTAAGATTTTCCAAATTATAAAGGGAGGAATTACCAAGAAATTAAACAATGTAAGTAATTTGTCAGCTCTATTCTTCTCCATTCAAAAGCTATGGAAGGTAAAAGATTGATAGTAATATAGAAAGCAGGGTTTGAGAGAGACAGAGAGGATGTGAAAGAACTTTCCTAATTTATTTGATCATGGCAACTTAACAGTATCAGATAACTTTTGCCCAGGAGATACATACCATGTTGATGGCGTCATCATCAGGGACAGAGGATCTCTTGCAAAGAAACTCTGTGAGTCACCTTCCGAAGCATCAACCATCCTGGGTTTCCTAATCATGAAACTATCTGAAAAATGATCTCCCCATATGTCATAGGTGTACTCTTTTCCAACCCCATCATTTCCCATCTCCATTACTATGGATTTGTTCTTGTGGCTCCTGGGTCCTGGAGCACGAGCATGTGGTGCAATTGGAGAATGTGCGTCCGAGACACTTGAAGCAGGCACAAAAGGTTCATTCGAGACAGATTGCAGAAAATCAACAGAAGGTGATGTAGTTTGCTTCCCAGTCAATTTTGGAGTTATCGGATACTGCTTTCGACTAGGCATCATCGAAGACCTTTCGTAGTGCTTCTCGGTTTCTGATACTCTCGTCCCCAAAGTGTCTACTGCATCATGTGTCCTCTGATGCTTCTGTTCTGACGATAATCCAGCATTTAGAATGCTGTCGCTTTCAGGAGAAAGACACCATGGTTGCTTTGGAGTCGAGACATTTGGGGACAACGGTGACGTTGGTGTAGAATTCCCACTCTGACCACCAGCGACTTCCAGTTTTGCTGCTAATCCGGTTCCGATGGCCCTCCTCTTTCTTCTTCTCCCTTTTTCCTTAACAACTCTTATAGTGAGACTACCACTTTGTGGAGCTTCTAACAAATTGTGCTTGTCAAATACTTCTACAGGTTTTGTTGTTAATGCCGGCGGTGAGAACGTGATTTCCTTCTGATGCACAAAATCTTGCTTGTCTTGCCTCTTTTTAGGACTGTCAAGAACAACATTCTGACATATCTGATGCTCATCGACAAATTCAGATTTAGGGTTCTCATCTTCGTCAGATGATCTGCATTGTATAGAAGTCATGAAGTAATCTATCCCTCAAAATAACAAATAGGAATTAGTCTAACTGACCTGGAGAATTTTGTGGTATGGTGAAGACAAGAAGTTTTTCCTGCCTTGTTCGTGGCATTTATGGTGTCATCAACATTGACATAATATTCTTCAGTATCCAGTAAAAAGGAGTATGGAATAATGCGGGTCAGCAACAGAAATATAGATACAGCAGCAAATATGAGTAGAGGCACTTTCCAATGCACTGTCCGGGAAAATGTTTTCCTGCAAATGTTGAGCATTTGAACTGGAAGGCTTGCCTTCATAGGTATCACAAAGATGCCAGTAGCAAATGCTAGCTCGAGATCCCTGTAAACAATATCTGTATAAAAGTCTGCTTCATATGAAATTAGCAGTTTCATTGATTCCCCTGGTTCTAGAGCAAAACCTTTGCATCTGTGTACCATAAACCCATCCAAAGCACAATCAGTTCCCGAAATTTTTATTTTCTTCACCTGAAGAGGAAGTTCACCTATATTTTTGGCATAAATCTCCTTGGACAACCGATGATTGCATAAAGAACTAGTGTTCTCAATATGGGAAAAAAGATCTGCAGAGGGCCTGTTAGTTGGCAAGTGAAAGTTGAATTCCAGCTTCCAGACTGGTTCAGAATCCTCCAGAAGGATGAGTAAATGTGACCCACCAAATGCTCGAATAGGAAACCATTCTACACCAGAAAGATTATTCCGTAACAAACCTGAGCTTCTCCACATACATCTATTCAAGGGACGAAAGACAACTGGCCCAAACAATGCACTGTCACAAGGATGTACAAAGGCCTCTGTTACTGCTGAATCGGACATTGAGAATCCTATCCTAGTTTCTACAGAGTCAATCTCAGAAACCCTACTCAAGAATGTATGCTCGTGTAGTTCATCAGCAGATGCGCACTTGTCGACGACTTCCCCTGAGTTCAGCACAAATTGCATTATAACAGCTTGTTGGCTAGGATTGTGAACAGAGATCCACTTCGAGAAATGGGTGCCAACTGGAACAACTGGAAACGTCAGCTCATGTTCTTCAAGGACAGAAACATCAGTTACACGGCCTTGGGATCTCCAGTTTCTAAGTATCAGCTCATCTGCTTTAAATGCTTCCATGAGTTTTGGCTGCAAGTAGTAAAATACAACCTACTTAAGTACAAGAAAATTGAAAAGAAAAAAAGAACAGGAAGAAATATAGCAATATACCAAGATAATCAATCATATGGCATACAATATGAGAAGTTCTCATTAGCTGCTCTAAAAGCAAGTCAAGGATTCCAGTGTGATTCTCAAACAATATTTGATAATCAAGCATAATATGTAACTAATGAAATTGTATTTTACTGAAATCTTCTTTAAAAAGAATCCAAAATAACTAAGATCTTGTTTGTGATGTAGTGGCCAATCACAAAAATGTCAATTTAATCAAAGTTCAATTCTCAATTAAAACACATGCCCCGAATCTTGATCGGAGACCAAGGGTTACTAAGAACTATATTAAATAGCTCTTTTTTGTAAAATATAATTAGAAAACCTTATGACACCGATGGCGATAGAGTATGACACCATTGTTGTTGCAGGTGTTGGAAAGAACATATTAACAGTCACTGAAAAAGCGGTTTAAATATGACAAAATCCTAATAATAATTTGATGGTCTAGTATGTAGCAGAGAGGCTATCAGTAGTAGAATAATGAATCAATGATGATTTGCCACAAAAAATCACAGCATAATCAACAAGAACACCCATAGGCATGATCTTCAAGAACATTTTACCTCAACTTTTAGTTCATCTTAAAAAATACTCATTTGAATAGAACACTGTTTGAAGATGTATGGTGATCAGGGGGCCAAAACATGGGACCATCTACTGAGACCATGTTTATCACCTTGGGAGCACTGTCTTCTCAAAGTAACTACTCGGTAAGGTGAGTAAATTCTTTGTGCCTGATGAAAAAGGAACACAGCTATGGCAAGCAAACCATTATGTCTTGCAGCCAGTCATCTTCACCTTAAAGCAAAAGTTGTCTGACAGGAAAGAAGACATACTGCTATAAACCCACACAAGACAAGCTTGTAGTACTTCCTGTGCAATCCATATAAGCATTAAGTATAGGGACTGGTTAAACCATGCAGGTATTCTTCCACATAGGCATTACTCCAGCTAAAAAATGCATAATGCATGTTACCAATGATAAGAGGAGATGCAAATCAATATACGGCAGTAATAACCCATTAAGTAGATAAAACACTAATAATAACATGCTAATTGTTCCAATCTCCAAACATCCTTTTCTTTAAGTTGTCAGGTTTTGCTTTGGCGAAGAGGTAAGACATGCAGGGCACCTTTTGTTCTGTTTCGCTTCTCTTATCTTATTATTCTTTTTCTTTCTTCCAGTTAAAACGTGTCTAAAAGCTACACATTAAATAGTACTCAAACTATATGGTGGTCGAAGTACAAGAAAGCAAAAGTATTTTCCCACACAACTATAGCAAGAAAAAAAAGGTGCAATGATATATGTAAAAACAAGAAAGAGTAAGGTGGTTGATTAGTTGACAAGGAACAAAATTTCCAACAAATAACCTATGCAAAAAAAATCCTCATTCAGTGTCTGATATATGAGAAGGAAAATAAAGTACAAATGAGGTAACTGCAAATATCCGTAATTCTGTATTAAAAATTATATAAAAGAACACCAAGAAAATAGAAAGTCACATGGAACAAGAAAAGCAAAATTACCTTCATGGGAAATGATGCATCAGCAAGGCTTTGTGAACATCCTGCTATTGCATATGTATGTTTTCCCTCCTCGTTACGCGATAGCCCGCTAATATATGAGCTATCTGACACATTGATGCCTGAGCCATGTTCATTATTAGAATTAGCATATACCAAGTCCAGGCATGGAATCTTGATTACTGGGCTGACAGAATCATTTGTTTCTATTAGTAGTTTACATTCCATAACTTCAGTAGGAATGTCAGGGAGAAGGTACTGTGGAGTAATGGAACAAGAGTAACTAATCAAAGCTATTCTTGTGAAAGTCCCAGGAAAAAGTAATAACCCTTTGTTGTATCTGACTTTGAAAAGCTTTGATCTCTTTGTACTCTCACTAACATTAACCAAACTAAGTAGGTCTTCCCCATCATTTGTTAAAGAGATGATGAGGACTGTCTGCCTTCCATTGCAGGTCCCACAAGACTCAATATCTACAGAAACTGAACCACTTAAATCGCTGTAATTTGTGTGCCGATGCACTTCTAGCTCAAGGGGAAGAACAACAGTACTCGTTCTATCTTGTGTGGAACTTTGCATTTTTAAACAGATAGCCCCAAGAATCATTCCTTCTGCATAAGGCCACAATCTCATCTCTAGGATTGGCTCAGTCTTATGAGCAGACACTTTCCATTGCTTGTGGGGTCTAATGTCTAGCCATCCGATTCCCGACTTACTACTCTCCACTCTGAACCATTCAGCATCAGATAAAAGGTAATCGGACTTAGCTGATGAGTGCTGCAATGGATCCATTCCACAAACAACATGCACAGATTGGTTGGAATGTCCAGATAAGGAAACCCATGCACTCACTTCCTCCACATGAATGGCATCAGTAAACGGATTGTATAACGAGAAGTTCCTACTCAGCCTTCTCCTGGAAGGAACACCAATTCCTATCACAGGCTCTATCTTGTAAGGGGACTCGACAGCCACTCCTCTAGCTTGAATTATGAATCCCCCGAAGCTCGTCTGCAAGACGAGATGTGCTGATGATGAACCCAACCATCTTGGCAAGAAAACGAAGGCAATGGAAGCAGATTCACCAGGTGCCAGTGTCAGCTTTCTGAAACCAAAGGCGTAGTACTGGGGGTCGGGACTAAAGGGTTCGTGAACATGCAAATCACCATTCTTGTAGGTGTTCTTCACTGTCAATAACGCAATCGAAGGGGTGTACAAAGTATTTTCCCCCCATTCCAGAAGAGGAGGACTGACCTCCACATTCAGAGACGAAGAGCCATTGAGAATGCCGGAATCGAGGTCGGCAGTGATCCCACTCGACGTCCTCATCCAAGCATCGGGAACAAGCGGAGCTACACACGACGCGACATCATCCGCGGCGCTATTCTCCCCACCAGAGCTCAGCCCGTCATCATCTGTCGCGCCCACGGTATCCACCAGACGACATGAAACGACGCCCCCATCGGCCATCTTGAAAGCTGCGACATTGGCCGGTCGCCACTCCGAGCCGGAGCCGCCCGCCCGAGCTACAAAACCAGGTCCTCGATAGCTGTCCTCTCCCCGGAAGCCAAAACCCATCAGGGTGGAAGGGAACCACAAGGAAGCAGAAAACCCGGAGCAGACATCCCGGGGCGAATCATCCGCGCAGAAACCACAAGCATCGTCGACCGATGTGCCAAACACAATCGACAAGCAAAGCATCAACAAGAACCATCCAAGAAGCCGAGAAAGCCCCTTCCACCGCCGCAATGATCCCCTGAAAAGAGGGGAAAAGAACACGCCACCGTAAAAGATCATCACAAGCATCGGCACCCACGAAGTACTAAATTCGACGATGAAACCCATGCCAATAAAGAAGCACAGGAGAAGAAAGACGCAATCCTTGGGTGGTTTTGGAGTTTGGTAGACCGTCAAACTCTTATCTCAGAGAAGAAGAAGATGGGGAAAGCTTGTAGAAGCTGAGCTGAAGGAGACGAGTGGCGGAAGGAAGGTGGGGTAAGTGTACCGAGATGGTGAGAGGAGGTGAGCGGCACCAAGTGGTGGCGATCGGTGGTGACGCATGGAGGAAAAGCGGAGCATGTGACGGTCCCCAAGGTGTCCGGCCACCGCCGGTGACCGGAGAGAAAGGGAGGGAGGGAGGCTTCAGGCGGTGGCCAAGCGAACAAGAATCTACCACTTAACTGGTAATTTTAGTGCAGGTTAAAATGACCATCGTACCCCTCCATACACTATCCACGTGCTTGTCGCGTGCAAGGGCATGAGCCGGACAAATTCTCCGAAGAAAGAAAAACCCTTTTATTTGAGCTTTTTCCGTATATTTGACCCATATTTTTAAAATTTTCTAACAGCTTTTTTTTTTCCTAATACTTAAAATTTCATTGATTTGATAATCAATTATATATCTTTTTTTCTCTTTTCTTCCCTTTTCTTGTGAATCGCTTCATATTTTAGTTATAATATTTTTACACCATATTGCAGTATTTTCAACACTATCAGAAAAAAATAAAATATTATAGTATAATAAAAGTGGTAGGTTGATGAAATATTATAGAAAAGAAAAATAAAAGTGGTAGGTGGATGAAAGTATTTTAGAAATTAGGGGAAAAAAATGCACAGGCAGAAAATTCTGAAATTAGGATATACTTCTCATGAAAAATCTAAAAAGAAGAACTTTTCTCAATAATTTATCCTTAAAATTATAAGAAAGGAATAATAATAATAATAATTTATGGTTTTATTGAGAATAAATAAATTATGATATACACATTGATAAGTCTAATTTGAATGGTCTTAATGAGATTGAGGAAATCCTAAGTTGAGCAAAGCACACTTCATACATCCATAGCTATAGCTATAGCTATACCAAGTGGAGTCAGTCATTCATACGTAACGTTGATGTCACACATGAAGAAAATTGCTGTCATTGGTAAGCATGTCAAGACTATAGTTTGATCATCAGTCAACAATTACTGTCTTTCTTGTTAAGCAAGAGCTTCAAAGGTTTGGTATGGAGAGGGGGTGATGTACGATAGACTTTTGTTAATGTTGTTATTGATGATGATGATGATGATGATGTTGATTAATTTAGATTTGTCATTATCGGATGGTACTATCAACAATGATTTATAATCTCTCTTTATTTCTCTAAACAGTCATTTTAGCATTTGGTTAATTATCTTAACATCAAACAAGGCTAAAAACAACTCAATACGAAGACATAAGTACGTCAAATTAATTTGGGTTAGTTATCATGACTGAGACATAAGTGCATAATTTTCATATATATGGATTGTACATGATTGACACAATATAAGCACGGATAAATAGGTCATGGTCATAATAATTATCATACCACTTGATATAATTAAGACATGGCATACGCTAATGATCACGTCATATTTGCACTGTACTCAACATCAATATTCCTCAAACTAGATGCAATTTAGTTCTTATTTTCTCTATAAATAGCTTTAATAGAAAAAAATATCTCTCATTTTCAGATTTTCTAATAGTATTTTTTTATCTAATATATAAAATACTCTTAATTTGATAGTCAACTACCTATCTCTTTTTTTTTATTTTGCTATGAGCTAGTTTGTGAGTGTAGCGATCGTTAGAATTTTTAAGGTGTATAATTAAATATATTAAGTTATTATTTTAATTAGTCAAAATTAAAGTGATCTAATTAAAATAAAATTATTTAACTAAGGAGCATATTATTATGTGGATACCATCAATTATATTTCTAACTTGGTGATGAGGTAAGTTAAGAATATGAAATATCCTAAGATACTTCTATAAATAGGATTATGGTCCCCGATTTCAGTATCAATTTTTTATATTTCTCTTCACCCGTCAAAGAGAAATAAAATGTTTCTAGAGATACTCTACAATTGGAAGGCTAATTCACTAATTAAACCAAAATACTCATATGAATTTACATTTTTATATTAATATGTTTCATAATTATTATAAGATTTCATGTATATTATTATGAATTTAATAAGTTTTATGAAAATATTCTAAAATTCATCTTTGGATATATAAAGTATATTTGATGTGTTAAATTAATCAATACATAGTATCATAGTCATCCTACAATTATTATTAAAGAGAAATAAAATGTTCTTAGATATACCCTACAATTGGAAGGCTAATTTATCAATTAAACCAAAATACTAAGATGGATTCATCAGGTACACTTTCGTATATACTAAGATGTTTTTCATCACTATTTTAGCGTGATTCAGTTCTATCATCGTCCGAGAAGATGGTTTTATGTAATCATGTTGTAACATGCTTCACAATTTGAGATGTTTTTTCCTTTTTATGTAATCATGTTGTAATATGCTTCACAGTATACACGAACACATGCAGTTTTTTTTTTTTCTTTTTGTGTGTTTTCCTCTTTATAGTATGCACAACACATTGTATTAGAGCTTCTATTATTGTTCATTTTCACGCTGCAACTCATAAACCTCATCGTCGCAGTACGTCTTTCAGTTTATTATTATTATTATTATTATTATTATTATTATTATTATTATTATTATTATTATTATTATTATTATTATTTAATATCTTTAGATTTTATCTAAGTAAATTTAATTAATAATAGTTGGTTTAAACATAATATTGGTTTAATAAAGTTGATTTTTGACATAAATCAAATAGGTTACATGTAGCAAATGTTTGAATCAATATATTAAGGTTAAGCAAACTTGATTAATATAGTTCAAATTTAATTAGTGATTATATAATTGTTTGATATTAGATAGAGTAATTTGATGTATGAAATTATCAAAGTGACCTCTCATGTGTGGCATTTCTCATGTGTGGAATTCATGCGAAAATTCCCTTACTAAAAAAGAAGGTTAATGGCTAGTAGGATTCTATACGCCTATAATGATAAACATGTAACAATTATAAAATTATATATATGAATAATAAATCAATCCAAAAATGAATTTATCATTTGATATGCTTTATTATCAGTATTTAATTATTACAATAAGACTACAACTAGCAATTAATATTGAAGTCCAAAAACAAGAAATTAATGTTGCACTTGGTATCTTGAGATGAGTTATATCATTATTTGAATTTACTTAAGTTTATGGTAATATATATGAGCATAATTTGTGATCGTCTATTATACTCTTATTTAGGTTCTCGCAACAATATCTATTAACCTCAATTCAGTACCAACTCTAAACGAAACCAACTTTAAGGATTAGAAGAAAGACATTTTGATCGTTTTGGGCTGCATGGATCTGGACCTTGTACTAAGGGAAGACCAACCCACTTCTCTTACAGAAAATAGTACTGAAAGGAGACTATATGAGAAGTGGGAAAGGTCTAATCGCATGAGTCTCATGATCATTAAGCGTGGTATTTCGAATGCCTTTAGGGGTGCAGTATCTGAAGGGATTACCAAGGCCAAAGATTTTCTTATCAAAATAAAATAATATTTTTTAAAAACGATAAGGAGAAAACAAGCACTCTGCTTCAAAGCTTGATTTCCATGAGGTACAACGATAAAGGAAATATAAGAGAGTACATTATGGAGATATCTAATCTTGCTTCAAAGCTTAAAGTATTAAAGCTTGGCTTATCGGAGGACTTATCCATTTGATTTTGATATCTCTCCCTACACAATTCAGTATGAGTTATAAAAATCAAAAGGACAAATGGTCTCTTAACGAGCTCATTTCATATTGTGTGCAAGAAAAAGAAAGGTTGAAGTAAAAAAAGACTGAAAGTGTCAACTTGGCCATCACATATGAGGACAAGGGCAAGAAAAGGAAATACAAATCAGGAAAGAATGAGGCTGATAAGAGTTCAGCACAGAAGAAATAAAATAAGGATGATACTTATTTCTTTTGTAAGAAATATGGGCATTTGAAGGACTATGTTAAGACTATGCTAAATATCATGCTTAACATGCTAAAAAAGGTTCGTTCCTTACTTTGGTTTGCTCTGAAGTTAATTTAACTTCAGTACCTAGAAAACTTGGTGGTTAAACTCTGGTGCAACTACTAACATCAGTGTTTCAATGCAAGGTTACCTGAGCTACCGAAAGCCCAATGATACTAACGAATGCATTTATGTGGAAGATATAAAATCAGAAAATATGGAAGTTATAGGCACATTTAGATGGTTATTGTGTACTAGATACTATTTGGAATTAAAAGGTACTTTTGTTGTACCATCATTTAGATAAAATTTAATTTGTGTTTCTTATTTGGATAGTTATTCTTGTTCATTTAGAAATAATTAGTTTACTTTGTCTTTAAATTCAAATGTGATTGAAACTAGTTCACTTATGGCTTATGATAATCTATATTTACTTGATACTATAGCGTCCTATCATAAATCCCTTAATGTGGAATTATGAGGTATTAAACATAAAATTAAAAATTCAGGTGTATTATGACATAAACATTTAAGTCACATCTCTAGAAATAGAATTGAAAGACTTATGTCAAAAGGGATTCTTGATCTTATTGACTTATCGGATTTAGATGTTTGTGTTGAATGCATTAAAGGTAAACAAACCAAACCTAAGAGTTCAGGTTGATATAGAGCTACATACGTCTTAGAATTGATACATACAATTATTTGTGGGTCATTTCCTACACCTTCGTTGAATGATCAATAATACTTTATATCATTCATAGACGATTACTCTAGATATGGATACATATATTTAATACATGAAAAATCTCAGTTTTTGGATGTGTTCAAATCATTTA